AATCTATCCTCTTAAATGTTACACACTGGGACCTTTAACTAAAGTGCACAATATTCTTTAATTAGACTTATATTAATGTTGACTCTTAAAGGATGTAAGATCTAATCAGTTCACTGAAATATTACAGTCTTAAAGAAACACTGATATTTCTCTAGGAAAGGGCAAGTTTGCTTATAACAACAGGACGAGAGAAAAACGAGTTCTTCTGGGCTCGAGCTGAATGTGCACATATTTTCTTCATGGTGAAAGTGACTTTTAGGACTGTTACCTGTGTTTCAACATGTCTTTACTGCGATTGGGATAACACCTTGAACCTCTCTCTTTCACCTGCAGACAAAAGTTCATCTCTTGTGTTTAACTGACGGCTCCTCTGACAGAACACATGGGCCCATTAAGCCAAAAGGCACTTTAGGTTCCAGTACTGTTCAGCACCGACATGAGTAAACACATGTTCCCTGTTACCCTATAAGGAGACGGCACACACGCACACGCACACACGCACACGCACACGCACACACACACACACACACACACACACACACACACACACACACACACACACACACACACACAGTATGCAAGGATGCAGCTTTGGGACAGCAGTTTTATTTATGGGGTAGAAAGAGAGTTTGTGCAAGTCTGGAAAATAAAGCTGCGCTATTTCTGGCAGCCGGGGACTGCTGAGCACTTAGATCATTATTTAGAACCAGCTGCAGTCAGCAGTGGAGATGTGGGTCAGGGGGGCAGGAGAACTACCAAGTCAAGACTTACTCGGGCCTTGTTAAACACAGACAGGAGAGAAGGATTTCTGAGGCAGATGATGATATCAGTAAAAAGCCATCTGATACAGATATACCAGCTGATATTTATTCATTTGTCTTAATGAAACAAATAATGGTGAGCAAATCATACAAACACTAACAACATCACAGGGGTTTGAATCAGGCCATTCTTATACACATTACACAAATGTTGACAGTGTCCATACAGCACACGTCTGTCTGCACGTCATTCACATTGAGGACTCTCCTCAGAGAACCACAGACAGATACAGACATAAACACAAAGACAGATGGCCATGTAGACAGGATAATATTACTGAACATTCAGAGACAGACAGTCGTCCAACAAAGGCCATCTGACCCCAGATACAGTGCGTCCTTCCTTCCTGCTTCCAAACCCTTCTTCATACAGACAAACATTTCGGGAAAATTCCAGTATTGAGGATGCTACTGCTGCAGTCTTTATGGAACTGCTGCTTTCAACAATCTACATACCAAAAAAGAAGAAAAGTCTAAGAAAACCAAAGTGGATGGATTTAATGATGAGATATATAAAATAGTAACATTCATTTTATGTCAGAAAAGTTTAAAAAAAATGGTTGTATAGCAACTTTTAACACCAGACAACATTTAAGTTCTATCATAATACTATAATAATCAAAATCCTATAAATCTATATTCAAACTCTTCAAAACTTCCACAAGAGATGTCAAATGAGCTGCTCTACATTACTGACTGATATGATACAATATTGATTTAACTAGAGGCCTGTTGGTTAAAGCAAACATCTGCTGTATTAAGCACTCTGGGTCTGGCCATTTTTAGAAACATCTACAGAGCTCAGAGAGTAATTAATCTGATATTTCCCGCAGGAACAATGTTTTAGTTCAGAATGTTTGGAACAGAAGAACAGCTAGGCAATTACATACCAATACTGTACTATATAATATACAGTATAGTCTACAGCTATGTTTAGAGACTGAATAATGTCTTTGAGGTCTAATCACACCAAGCAACACCACCAGCTGGATGCTGAAGTGCTTTACAAAGCTGTTCTTCTAAAAGCCAAAAGATGATGACTGAAGAAAAATAATGGGAAAACCTCCAACTACTCTTGAGATAAAAAAACAAAATCATCTGGACTTTAAAGAGAAGTCGCAGATATTTGGGCCTGTTTTTCTTTGACTGACAAATCTCTCAGACTATCACACCCAGATGGTTCAAGCAGTTTCACTAAAAGCATGACCTGAAACTCAACTTCAGTTATCCGTTGCACAATACAGTGTAAGCTTCATATAGATATTCAACAGCTCAATGACGTCTACTAGGCCTTTATAACGAAAACCAGCCCAAAACTCATCTATTCATCAGCCTAAAACGTGAGTTTACCTGAGCTGCCACAGAGATATCTTATCACAGCCGAGCATCACAAAAACACGTTTCAGCTGGGTGAGAGGAGGAAGATATCTTTCAGTCACTGATAGCAACTTTTATTATGACACATTTCACTGGGAAGAGAAAAAAAGGCAGCTAGTAATTAAAAGTAAAACATGGCCATCATTTTGGGCTGTTTCCTCTACCGAACAGGCATTTGCTGTCTTGCAGTAACGCTCCTGGTACACCAGCATGCAGGCACACTGGGGAGCTGTGTGTTCCAGCGGTTTTGGCTGGTCCGGCTGCCTCGTGTCACTGCAATGCATATACACGCATGTAATCTCATTAAAACTTCCAGAATCTCTGAATATTTAAATGTTGTTGATTTCTAAAGTTTTCCTGCTGGACACAAGATGTCTCCTACTTCACTGTAAAGTCCATTCTCAGTGGATGTGTACTGGTGGCTTCAAGTTTCTACATCACACTGTACAAGTTGCATACTGGACCAGTATGAACCAAAGACAAACACAGGCTGAGAGATAACAGTAAAGACAATACCACACAGAAACAGCAACAGCTACACTGCAAGTGTTGACATGCACTGACAGGAAGAAGTATATTTCCTTGAAGAGATGATGACTCAAGTGCCAAGTCTGAGCGTTTTAAACAACAAACATACAGAACACATGTGCCAATATGTCATATACTGTCTAAACTCTAACTGACAGAGAACAGAACAATGCTGAGCAACAACACCTGTATCCAGTCACCTTGGCACAGGGTTTCTGTAGGCTTAAAGTTAAGACTTTTTGAGACTATTATGAATGCAATTTAAGACCTACTTTACACCCATACTGGCAAAAAAGTATGAAAATCGGTATTGGTTCTATGTTGGTTTCTTTTTGTGGTTGTTACAGCATGATCAATACATTTCTTGGGTCTGAAAAATGCAACTTTATACCAGTAACTTTGACTTCATTAATGAAATACATTTTTAAGAACTGTCAAAATCATATGTATGACATTTGAAAGGCCTGAAATCCAGATTATTGGCATGCTGTCTGTGTTTAGTTAAGTGATATACTCTAGCTGATCTATAGGAGTGAATGGACCAGTGTAACTGCACAGCAGCTCGTGTTGCCAAGACAAGAATACTACAAGTTTAACAACTCATACCAAACATGATCTGTAAGTGTGACTGTGGCACACTGTCAACCAGCATTTCAGATTCACAGGCTGCACCCTCACTGAGCTCCATGGGAAAACTACTTTCAGACATTCAAAGAGACGATGAAAAAAACCCCACTGAGGATAGCATGCCAGCTGATTTCCTCTTTAATAAAACCTGCTGCGCCTTTAAGCAGTTTATCAGTATGAACACCCCAGATTTTCCCAGACATAAGATTACAAATGAGGAGCTCTCAGTGGAGTGTGACCAATCCAGGTGCGGCACAATACTATTTACAAGATATTTTTTGCTTGCTAAGGGGCTCAAAACAGGCCATAATGGCATTTCCAGTGGGCTTTTAGAAATGTGCGGGCACAGAATAGTTTTTACAGCGTGCCTTACACAGGCCTCTCCACGATAATTAACTGACAGATTCAGAGGGGTGAGGGGTGAGGGGTGAGGGGTGAGGGGAGGAAAGTGTGGAGGAGGCGTACCGCTTGGTATCATTAGGAACTCATTATGACTCCACACTGGGCGACCATGCTGAGAAAGGAGGAGAGAGGAGAAGAGCAGCAGGAGGTAGTGGACTGTTAGGATTTAATGACTGCTTATGGATGATCGGCACAAACAAACAGTCATTCTGCATCTGTGCGTTCAGTGTGTCCGGCCCTGCTGCTGACTAAACCAAAGACTTCTGTTTCTACTGGAGATAGATAAATAGAGGCAGGCATTGTGTTAGTGGATCGCGCCAAAGCCGGCCCCACTGTCACAAAGCACTCTCTGTGGTTTCACGGGAACAGCCGTTGGCTTGGGGATGAGCCAGTGCCCCCCGCCCGCCCCCCTCCTGCCCAGGAGTCTTGGACCCGATGTTCTGGGAACACAACGGCCCCGGCCTGTTTGGTATAGCAGGGCAGATACTCTGAGCCAAACCCGCCCTCTCAGACCGAGTCTCTCTGGGCATCAGAGTAAAGCAAGGAGGGCTCAGCGAGAGGAAGAGGATTTCAAGTTGGCATCAGCACGAGAATCGCGGACTAACGGAGCATATTCATGCCTCGGGACAGCAAAATGGAGATAATTAAAGGCTACAGTGTCTCAGCTCAAAGCTTTGAGAGCCACTATAAAATCTTCTTGGGTTTTAATCTGTCACACATCTCCTGTGCTAAATCTGGCTCATATTTATTTCAATCTCTGTTCCAGCAAACACGCCCACAGGTCCTCCACAGCTCCAAGTGTCATACACAAACACCGGTCAACATCTGAACAACTACTGTTGCAGCTGCTCCTCTGAGCTTCTTCTGGGAGCAAAGCCAGGAGCCCTGCAGGTGACTGCTTCAGCTCACTCAGAAAATAAAAGCTGGGTTGGTTGTTTTGGAGTCAGGAGAAGGCCAAACCACAGAGACACACCCAGAGCAGGTATGGGAACGTGATTCGACATCATGAATGTGCATTACTTTTTAATTATAACTCACAACAAGCAGCAGATCTGAAGAGTTTACTGCATGTTTGATGTCAGCTTGTATTCTCATTAATTTCAATGTCCCAGGGAGAAGCGGTCTCCCAACAACTGTACGTTAAACCAGCACCTCGCTACAAGCACAGCAACGCAGTGGAAATCAAATACAGTTCATAACTCAGCCTCAGCTGAAACGCAGACAGTGTGTTGGTGAGGTTCCTACCTGAGCAGAGGATGCCTTTGTGTCGGGCGCAGGAGAAGTCATCACACTCGCAGAAGCTACCGTAAATCTTGCCAAACTCAGACTCGTAGCACAGACACTGGTTGCAGCTGCACTCTCCTCGCCCGCTGCAGATCTGCTTGCCCTCGGCCTCCCGGCAGGCACTCAGGTACATGCTGCTGGCCTCGCCCTCCTGGCACTCGCAGCGGGCACCTAGGTAGCCCGGCTCGCAGTGACAGGTCCCACAGTTATAAGTGCCTGCAAGAGGGAGAGTTGCTTCATTCTAATGACTCATTACACAGATTTAGCTGTGACTTTGATGTCCCTGTGTGCCTCTTAATCTATTTTGCTATAGGGCTGCCACTAACCATTATTTTTGTTATCCATTCATCTGTTTTCTCAATGAATCCATTAGTTATTTGGTCCATAAAATGTCAGTGATCAGTGTTTCCCAAAAGCCCAAGGTGGTCCTTAAATGTCTTGTTTTGTCCACAACCCAAAGACATACAGTTTACTGTCATAGAGGACTGAAGAAAGAAGAACATATTCACATTGGAGAAGTTTAAATCAGAGAATTTGGGTTTTTTTTTTTTTTTTAAGAAATTATGCAAAACGATTCTTCGGTTAGCAAAATAGTTGGCAATTATTTTTTCATCAATTGTATCAAGCCTTCTAGAGAATTCAGTAATTCCTGAATCTGAAATATTTCCATGTCAGATTTGAGTTTGGTGCTGCCTACTTGCACTTTATTTCTGTATTCCTGCAAAAACTTGATGATAAAGTGATATAACTCAATGCCTACTGGATTTTAAAATATCTCTATAGGTCAAGTTTAAAAATATGGTTTGAGTATAATTTGGGCTTTTATGGCTATCATTACCTCAACAGCAGTGACAGCCTCTCCATAATCACGCCAAAGAAAGTAGTCAATTAATAGGGTAAAAGTAGGAGTTCTCCTTAGTTACTGAAGTCAAAATACCAGTTGTGACACCACTGATTGAGGCGTTCAACCTCCTTGAAAGATTCAAACTACAGGAAGCAGGAGAGCAGCAGTTTTCTCTCCCGTGTGATTAACAAGGCTCATGGTTTTTACCAATTCTTTACAGGCACAGGAGCTTTCACATTTGTGTCCACTTGCTTTCAACAATTTCCTCCTGCAAGAAGTTGTTGATCCCTACAGTTTGACTAACATTAAACAATGCGCTCAGGTAAGAGAAAAGAGAAGAAAATATGTTGCTAATGAGGCACCAGAGTTTTAAGTTTGTCAAATAAAAGTGAACGGAAAACAGGATCATCTAAACTGATTGGGCTTTGTATGATTGTATGATGTATATGTGCAGTAATTAATGGAAAGCTGTAATGCAAGATGAAGCACCTATGGAGCTGCAGATGCTGCTGTTGGTCTGCGCCGTCCGGCTACAGCCGCAGTCACACTGGTAATCCACAAGCACCTCCAGGCGGTCTTTGAACCCAACTGGCTTGATGGTGAATCTCTGGTCGGTGCCACGGGGAGGGCAGCCCCTCGCCTCCACGCTCACGTTGAACGACACCTACAAAAGGAGAAGAAAGGGGAAGTGACTTCCTGTTTGTGGAGTGAGAAGGGTTCAGGTCAAGTTCAGATGATATGAGAGATAGAGAGATAGATTTCTCTACAACAGCAACATCATACAGCCTCTGAACCACAGTATCTTCAACCAACCACCTTCAGTTTCCATATTTCCAAGTGACCAGCTGCCAGCTAGTCTGTGGACATGAACTACACATGACCCTGGTGCTATGTTTACAGCAGTGGGCGAATTTCGCCCCAAAGCAGAGTTTACAGTGTGCAGCTGATGTGGCTTTCCTTTGCACAGAAAGTGGAACATGACACAAGACCTACACCCATTTGATTGCTCTGAGGAAGGAAGTCTGGACAAGAAGAGAAACCCAACCCCGGCTGGGTTGCTTTTCTGTTCCAACATGAGCACAATATTCTGGTATTTTCCTCATATTTAGTCAATCATGTCCTTAGAACTCTCTGTTCAATTTATAGCTCAGTGTAGTTCCCTTAACTTTAACAAATGAAATTATGCTGCTACAAACTGCCTGCTGAAATAATGCGGGTTTTTATCTCAATACCACACATACGATGACAGTGTGTGAATGTGTATATTTGTATAGTATTGTCATCCTATAAACTGTGTGGACCCCAGGAAGAATAGCGACTGTGATACAGAAGCTAATAAACAAACAGTCATGTTCTACTGGTTTGGCTCATTGGATCAATGATTGAGGGGTTGCCTGCCTGATTTCAACACCATTTTTGATAACCTGTGTAGTTTTTGAAGCTATTTTTATACACTTTCTCCCAATTTTTAGACAAATATGGACAGACAGATAGGCAAAGAAAGAGGAAGGTACGGTTACATATTCTCATCTATTTTGGTTCAGAGATCAAAACGGTTACAGCAGGGGAGGGAATATTCTCTGCTTTGAAGCTCTGACTAGAAGCACTTGACCCTCAGAAGACAAAATTTCACCAAAAGCAAATATTCCAACCTTGCAGCACCTGCTTTTCTTGGCAGGAACATCTGTGTATTTGGATCTGGATCTCCTAAGTTAAGAGCAACCCATTCCCCCCTACGTTCTCCTACAATTTAAGACCCAATACGTCGTACTGTGCAAGGCCTGTCCTGTAAAAATGTACATAATAAACACTGCCTTCCTCTGCATAGAATTGCGGACACAGCGAGCCATAGGTGTTCCACAATTTTCATCAACTAATTAATTCAGGAAATATCACACTGTAAATACATCACATAAACCGGACCAAGCCACTGCAAGGTGTTAATTATGAACGCAAGGCATGGACTGTTACAAGCTGTTTAAACTGTAACAGGAACAGCTGTGGAAAGGATAGGCCACACTGTTGGCCAGCTGTTAGTCCTGTGTCGCTGTAAAACTGCCCTGGTGGTAAAGACACCAGTAGTTTTGGTTTCTGTAAGGATGGAGGTCAGAACTGTTCATCATGCATTGACACAATGTCTTGCTATTCTTTATCTCATCCTGACTGTACAACTGTAATTCATTGTTTACGCGTTGAAATAACTTACTGGTGACAAAAATTCAGCTGGCCCATAATGCTGCAGCAAGAATCTCAAGAATCTCCCAATCCCTCCAGTGACTTCACTTCACTGGCTGCCAGTGAATTAAGGAGTTAGTTCAGGAGGAGTTAGGTGTTAGTTCACGTCATAAGCAGTAGGTAGCTCCAGTTATACAGTTGGGAAAACAGGAGAAGGCGGCCCAAGAGATGGTGAATTTAAAAGAGTGCCAGTGAAAGCTCAAACGATGAAAAACAATGGTAAATGGACCTGTACTTGTAAAGCGCCTTTCTAGTCTTCCGACCATTTGTATTTACTTCAGTCTAACAGACAACCCAAGTTGATTGTGAAAGAGCCTACGTCACATGTTCCCCGGACTCCCCCTCCACTTCTGCGCGGGAAGCTTAATAAGTTAACGAGGGACACAATTAAATTTACTGTAAATGTGAGTCGCGAGGAGGCCAGTTCACCCAATCATGTGGCTCATTGTGGAGAGGAGAGAGGGGCAAAAACTTGGGAGGAAGTAGTAGTAATAGAGGACATTGGGGGGGGATGGGTGAGGAAATAGAGAGGAGAAGATACACCAAGGCTAAACTCATTGACAAAATGCCTCATCGCACAGTTTGTGAGTAATGTCATTCAAGCAGAGACAGACAGTGTGTTAGGTTGTACTATGGTGTAAGGTGGGACAAGTGAAACATATGTAGGCAGTAGAATAACACTAGTGACAGACCAGTCACTAGTGGCATCTAACAATGAATACTGCAACCATTTGAATAGAGCTCAGCCTTCCAAGTGTGTAGGAGAAACTATGGTGGCTGCAAAACATGCAAAAAATCCCAAAGACCCAATCTAGAGCCAGTGTTTGGTTTGTCTGTTCTTGGATACTGAAGAAACATTGTAGTAAGAGGGAAAAATACATAATCAGATTAGTACATTTAGCAAAAATTGGGATTATTAGCAGGATTGCAATTTTAAAATACATCAGTTTTTCTTCAAAGGTTACATTGTTCGGTTGTCTTATAGAAACTTTCCTCCTCTCTTTACTGGCATATTATATGTTGAGGTAATCCAAAAGTAACATAAAGTAATCATCGTACATTACTTTAATATTGTGATACTTGGATTAGATTACTGACTACACAGGTAATTGGTAAGTATATCGGATTACATTTTTAAAGTAACCCTCCCTGGTGGATCAACATGGCTGACTCTAGAATTCAATTCAATTACATTTGTATAGCGCCAATTCATAACAGAAGTTATCTAACGACATTTTTCAAATATAGCAGGTCTAGACCGAACTCCTTATAAAAAGAGAAGGGGACCTGCTTCCTCTGTAGATATAAACAGCTCTTTCTAAGGCAACACAAACACAATGATTCTTATATTCAGGAGATTATACACTAATGAAAACATACCCATGTATATTATATTCCATTTCTGCCAGTAGATCCTCCTAAATGTTACACAATGGACCTTTGACACTTTGAAAATTGTATCTAAAAAAAATAATCACAAAGATCTTCCTCATGGTAAAAAATCAGTGTTACCATGGAAAAATCTGGATCTGGATGATGGAATTCTTATGACTGCCTGAAATTCAATTAACTGGGACAACCCCCATACAGAAGGTCAAATAAAACAACATATGACCTAATTCAAATGCTTCTGGTTTGTTTGGAAAAAAAAAAAAAAAAAAAAACTTGATAAAAAAAGGACCTGGTTTTATTCATATGCATGAGCCCATTCAGTGGACATACATTTCTCTGGTGTTCGAAGTGAAAAGGATGCCAGCCTAACTACATACACTCCAGCTAGCATTTCTCCCCCCGCCAGTTCACTTCTTTCATAGCTTGCAGTTTCACAGGCCTCCTCCTGCCTACTTTTGTGTGAGGGCATTGAGATGCAGCATCAGGCTCAACATAGTGACTGACACCTGGGCCGTGCACTGCGCCATATCCTCAAAGACCGGGGAGCTTGGCACCCAGTGGACTGAGCTGCCACCCTCCATCTCCTTTCAATGCCGGTGGATAAAAGACGTGAGCGAGGCCCATCGTCTGAGAGCCCCCTTCCATTCACTGGTGTTATTCTGCCTCAACTGCCCTCAGCTCCTCCACCGCCCGTTCCCATCCCAAAACTGGGAAAATAAAGCAGCCGAGGGAAGAGCATGGGGGGTTTTGGGAGAAGAATTCCACTGCACCGAAGCTCACTGTGTGACAGCATGTATAGAGTTGCCCTTTCCAAGCATTTTCAATGGATCTAGGGCTCAATACAAATCTTAATTGCTGCCTGTATAGAATATAAAGTGACCACCAGAGAGAGGTCTGTGCAAAATTCAAAGCAATTAAGATGTACCCTCATCTTGTGTCACCTGACCTCTGCTTTTGTCCTCTGACAGTCACCGAGAAAGCATTCCAACTGCACTAGATGCAGCTGAAGCTTACAGCCTACAGCATGGAGAACACACAAGTCTTCAAACATTCAATCATCCCAATGTATAAGACTTCCTGCTCCTGTGCATGTCATCCATCAGTGCACCATCCAGAAATTCCACTTCAAGTAAAGAAGAGCTGGTATCCAGGTTGGGAGCTCAGAAAAACCAGTGGAGCCTGTATCACAAAGCAAGTTCAACTCAGTGTCACTTGGACTACCTGGTCACAATAAGCTTGTTTTGGCTGATCCTGGATAACTGGTTTCACAAAGCTTGCCTAACTTTGAATTTTCCAATCCAACTATGAGAGCAATCACATGAAACAGTTTTCCACACAACTGAAACAGAAAGATAAAAAATAGTAGAAATAATTTCCAATACAAAAAGATAAGGCTATGGCTATATATAGACTGTAATTATGTAATTTTAAACTTAATAAATAAGATGGGCATTTTTATGTAAAGTAATTTTGGGTGTTGGTGTCAGAGTGTGCCAACCATTAATCACAGGAGTTTGTGTTTCAGTTCCCGGGTCCAGGAAACTAAGCTGCAAACTGTTCCCACTATGTGTATGTGGAGGCAAACAGTTCCTTTGGAGGAAAGCACTCTGAATGTTACGTAAAAGACTGATTGGCTGGTAGTAAAGCTGTTTAGAATTTCAGCATCGGTTAGCATGGTCATCTACTGAGGTAAAAATGTGAGCCAGCTTGCAATACGAGTGTGTGTAGTCCTTTATCTAGGCATTATGTGGAGGAGCGGTATGTGCAAACCCAAATGTCTGAATCAGTTGGACCAGGCATTAAACAAACCTTAGCCTGCCAACTCCCACCTTGTACAAGGCTGTTTAATGTCTGATGTGTGAATAGAACAGGTCATTGGCCAGCACAGCTTCTTGGCTTTTCAAAAACATACACATATAGAATAATGGTGATTGCCATTATAAAAGCCATGACAAAGAAATGGATATGTCAAGCCCCACCCATTCTGCATGCTGTACTCTTTTCTGCTCTCCTGTATATTGCTATCCACTACTTCGTTGATATTGTGGATACATCATACGTCATCATTATGGAGGAGTCCTCCTCCTCCTGCATGCTCTTCCCAGGTGCCCCCCCTCGCCTATACCCAATGCAGTATTTCCAATGGGTAAAAATACGTCTGACTTGGACAATCTCCTGTCAGGACCTGACACTTCATGCATTGTCTGGAGTTGATATGAGAAAAGGACTTTTGATTTAGATTCTCACTCCCTCACTGGCCAGCATTTATATCCAGGACAACACAATCACAACTCTGACCTGAGAGATTGAAGCTGGACCCACAGAGTACAGCAGGTACAGGACACAATCCTGTGTGCAATTCAAGGGGCTATGATAATGTGGATATGTTGCAAGAGTTACCGGCAAAAATATACACAAAGTCCAGTTTGAGTCAGTTTGATCTAGGGGCTTAAATGCTTATCAGACACCAAAACACTGAATAATCACGGGAGTCATCGACTTCATCCTCAGTCTTGAAGGTTTGTGAGGAGAAATGTGAGCCAGGTTCAATATTTTTACTGGCTGAATGTGTTTTCTGTTGCAGTGCAGTTGTTTGTCTGAGCGCAGCTAAAAGGACAGAGGGTGAGACTTTAACAGTTTCCCATAACTGTATCGGCTGTTGATTGAATCCAGCTGAGAGGCAAGAGAGCAAAGATTCCCTAAGGAATGAACAGTCTGTGCCAAGAGAGCTGTGTGATGATAATTGGCTCTTTCCTTCTATTAGTCGATAAGCATTATCAAGCAGTTAAACAACAGTTTACAAATCAGTTACATTCCTTAATAAGAGGCAGAGGTCCACAGCTATATGAAAGGGAAGCTATGTGTCCTGTAGTGAATGTCAGTCAGTGAGACGTTCATTACTGTGGCTCCTTTTCTTCACATGTGCCAATACCGTCTCTTTGGTTTCAGTGAAGAGCAAAATAACCCCCCCTCCCCTCCACCTCAGTTTGATTTCATCAGACAGGAACTCACTTCAAGAGGATTCAAAGGTCACACAGCGTTTGCCTGAGACTGCCAAGTCACAACTTGCTTTCTTTATTCATTGACTGGGATTCTGAATTTCACTTTGAGGAGAGCAGAAGGGTCAGAGCTAGACTCTATGACTGAAAATAAATATTAGAGGGTATATTTGCACTTGATGATACATTTGGTGTATTGTCAAGCCCTAAGCAGTATAGCTTTCTGAAGCACAAATAAGACCTGACTACATCTGCATCTTCACCGGGCAGAAAGATATTGTGGATGCCTTCTCATATATACCGTCTTCGTCTTCAAAATGAGGCACTGAAACATATGAATACACTTTTCTAACAAAACTCCTGAGCACTTGTATCTATAGCAAATCATATCTGAATGTCAGAAATTCCTCCAATACTATGTCAAATGTGGTATCGGCCAGTATGCATATCTGGGCAACGCTCCAGTAACACATCATTTATTAGCCCCAAAACCGGATCCTGCTACTTCCCAGCAGTGTCCGGTTAACCATTTTGTTTCCCAGGAGAGAAATAAGAAAATCATGACCCGCCTTGGGTCAGGATTTAACCTGAGCCAGGCCATGCAACAATGATAGCAATCATACACACCAATACACAACGCTCAGGTATCAGAATTGGGAAGATCGGAACGTGTCTACTTAGATTTCCTGAAACCTCTTAAAGCCTATTCCACACATTGCATGTTATGGAATTAACAAAATGACTAACTTGTAACTAAAATGTAACTTTTTTTTTTTTACATCTGCTGCTGTAAGCATGGGGGGAATATACTCCAAGTCTGCATGGGAATGTGTGCAGTGAGAGCAGCAACCTTAAAGAAAGAATCCTTATAAAAATAATTGGTAAATATTCCAAATGCCTGAAATCTGCAACCCCTGAAATGGTTGTTTTCCACTCTCAACCAACGATTTCCATGTGCCCTCAGTTTTTCTACAAATGCTGCTCTGAATGTGTTCTGGCAGAACAAGCCAGGGGCTTTTTTTGAGCCTGTGGTTTCAATTCGCAAATACAAACTCTGAAGCACTAGTGCACTTCATAGAGGTGTGTCTGTGTAAGCAAACCTTTTCATACATAGCATAATCATTATTCACACAGTGCAGTAGGCCATTAGAGGGGGGGTGCCATTGTTAACTCTGCTGCATGGAGGAATTGTAGGATTAGAAATGTCCCAGTTATGTTTAAGGCGTCCTGCAACAATGTACAGTGTACATGGGTGTGTGAGCTGGTTGGTCACCGACTGCATAAGTGTATGATCTTCCAGGACTATGCTATGGCCTGAACAGCTCCTAGGACAAAATCAAAAACTGAATGTGTCGGACAGGCCACTGCTTTCAGAACATCATTTGGCAAAATGTCGTCATGGAAAATCTGATTGATTCAAAAACAGCCACCCTGAACAACCACCATACTGACAAACACAGTAAATCATCTCCTTAAAGGGACAGTTCACCACAAAATCAAAAACATGTTTTTCTTCTTACCTGTAGTGCTAATCATCTACATTGTTTTGTTGTGAGTTGCTGAGTTTTGCTGATGCCTGCTTTTTCTCCAATATAATGGAACCAGATGGCACTCGTCTTGTGGTGCTGAAAGCGCCAAAAACTCAACAGCAACATCTTTTTCAGGAAATCATGACCCAGTTACTCAAGATAATCCACAGACCTTGTTATGAGCAGTTTCATGTACAAACTATTTTCTTTCTATTGAACTACGATCGCCAACCATAGCTGAACGTGAGCTATCTGGTGCTAGGTGAGCAAGCTAATGTTACAGCTCAACTGAGAAGGGCATTAATTACATCCTGCGCTGTCACAAGCACGAGCCTCTCGCCCCTGAGTGGATGCACGTTTACAAAGAAAACTATCTAGATTGATAAATAGCCCTATAGGTAAGAGCACAAGTATGTATTTGTGACCTTGGGGTGAACTTAAAGCAAGAGATAAAGTTTTTCATAACCCAAAAGAATGAAATAGTTCAAGCGAAGAAAGCCAGGATGCTACAGTAGCCAGGATGCTACAGTAGCCTTGCAGGATGCATCAAATTTTTAAAATGTAAGGTGTGAAGAAAGGGTGGACAGGGACTCACTGTGTCTCCTATCTTCAAGTCGGCACACTTCCTGAGGCCCGGCAGCGGCTTTCCATCCTGGCAGGTGGCGGTGAAGGAAAGGCTGATGTCCTCTGGGTGATCCCACACAGACAGCTCCACTTTAGAACGGATGTTCTGAGGAGAACACACCCGGAAGCACACAGAGACCGTTGGATGCAGGTTGGCAACTCAGGGTTTTAAAACAGAGAACTTTTGTTGGATGGTAAAATGAATCCTTTCAGACTTCTTTGCAACAACAGTGAGCGGAGGATTTTTTAAACATTTTCCCTGTGTCCTGAAACTAGAGCCAAATTAATGATGCCTCCCACTTAGACATTTATATTAAAAGCACCTCAGTCTATCCTTTCAGGCCTGTAGCTCTGGTTGAGTAACAGTGTGGAAAAGAGTGAAACATGGGGAATTGTATGGCCTTGGTTAGGCACATTTCTATGGACTTTTTTTTTTTTACCAAAACCACAAGCGTTGTGCATGGATGCAGGTTGTGTGGATGTCAAATACCATGGCTGTTTGCAATGCCAGCTGCATCTGGATCTGTGCAAGATCCAATCTGTAGTCAGTCATTTACTGTGGCATAGCTTTGCCACGGATAAATCAGGATCGTATTCCGTGCACATGGATAAGCGTGCCCTTGTTCTCTCCCCCCACATCTCTCACACACACACACACAAAACACGTACATAAACACACACACACACACAATTGCAATTTTCGGACCCTTAAGACAATCCCAGCGAAGAGCAGCTTTGTGCCACAGTCAAACTTGAGGGGAAAAATGAGCTGGTTACACAACGTTAACCTCACAGTGCTTTGGCAAAGCCCATCTAGCTAACAGCCCCCGGAGTGGCGGATATAATGTGGCAGCTGGAATGTTAATAAGGCCGTGAGTCAACGCGCTTCCTTCGAGCCCGCTCCCACACACTGAGCGTGTCAAAGTCTGGGTCTGACACGAGTTTCTGTCACAGAGAAATACGCTCCCACTGGGCCAAAACGGGATGCAGTTCCTCCTAAGGCGAGGATAAATGTGTACACCCACACAGGAAAACATTTGGGGAAAGGTTGACTACATGGAGTGCAGTTCTTTGGTTTCAAAAAACACACAATTTGCAAGAAACAGAGGAAAGTCAAATATAATAAATAATGAAAAATGTCCACCCTTTTTTTTTTTGACTGACCAACAGTCCAAAACCCAAAGATATTCAACTTCCAACAAATCTGAGAAGCTGAACCCAGTGCATGGCACGTTTGCCTAGGTTAGCAACTTAAAAAAAAAAAGACTATTATCTTTTTAAGATTAATCGACTAATCCTTTCTATCCCTATCTCTATGAAAAAATCTAATTTGCAACAAAGTCAGCTGTTAAAACCACTTCAGTACCCTAGAATGAGAAACCCAGCTTGTGTGCAACCACCATGTCAGCTGGAGGCTCATTAACTGTGTCACAGTAGTGGGAAGACTTTAAAGAATTTGCCTCCGTCTTCCTCCCTCTCCTCTTATCTTTTCTTCTCAAATCCCTCTGTGTGGTGTGTGTAACTTGACCCACACACACACACACACACACACACACACACACACACACACACACACAGGAAACCAGACACACAGACAGTCATACCAGCGCAGACTTTCTTTACTCACATTGTAAGCTGTGATGATCAGCTGAATGACATTCTTAGAGTCCTGGTCCAGGATTTCTACTGTAGTTCCAGGTATGAGTGCAGTAAAATTCTTTGTAATGGAAGAAATGAGAGCAGTATTAGTCTCCTTAACACAAAAGAATAAATAAATAATACATATATGTGTACTTTAAAGGCATACTGTGCAGGATTTTCCAAACAAACAATGTGTAGACCCACTAAAAGTTTTTATCTGTAGCGACGCCACCCTCTAACCAGTTTGCTGTGTGCTGATCATTCACATCATCCTTCAGGCAGCACACAGGGTTCAAGGTTACTTTATTTGTATTTCATAGGTAGATTTGGTTTGTAGTAAAAGACAAGGCATTCATCTTGAGAAAAATATAAAGACAACAACCAACCCAACGCAAGGCCAAATCCTGCAGCGTGCACCTTTAAGATAAAACGGTGAAATCGAAGTACCTTATAAATAACGTACAGCCGTTTCGTCACTGCAAAGATGAGAAAGATGTTATTTTCCGCCAGTTTCTCTCCGAGAAGAGCCAGTGAGGGATAGTCCTGTAGAGAGACAGGGAAAGAGGCATTATGGGTATTTTTGTCCACACATACCGTATATAGAGTTCCCAGTCTGGAAGCTAGCTTACAAATGTTGATGCCCTTCTGACCCCAGTGCTGTGTTTACATTGCTCTGCTGGCCTTTTGACGCCACAGTAAAAGGTGGATGTGGATTCTTCTTCTGGGCTCATGTTTATCTCGTTCCACTATCAGAAACAAAGAGTCTGAGAGCTCTCCAGATTGCACTTTAAGATTTGCTTATTTTCATTGGATGCAATTCAGTCCCTACTGAGATATTTATCTCAGACGGACCGAGAAAATAAAAAAACTCCCAGTGATTCGTATCCATCACCAGTCCAACGGTCAAAACCAAAAATGTGGAACAATGTGTCCCACAAACAGAAAGAGAAATAGAAGTGTAAGACATAATAGGACTAAAGTCAAAGGACAATGCTCTCCCTTTACAACAGAGTTTCTCTCCAGTAGCTCTTGTATGATGAACACAGCTACCAATTAATCTTTTGAAAATATGAGCACATGATATTGATCAGTTTTTATATCATCAGTCCTCTGGCATCTTCAAACACAGCATGAACTTATGTGTGAAAGACTTTCTTTGTATGCTTTTTCTGCGTCTAACAAAAACAATCCACTGGCTCCTCATTAGCTTTATAACTCATATCCAAACTCCTCCACGAGTCAGTTAGAAGAGTTTGGTAGAAACTGCAGGCTAAGACAGATATTTCAGCCATGTATTTACAAGTCAACAGTCTATTCAGTGGTTTTACTAGCAGCCTCCAGGTGTGGATGTGTGTACTGGCCCTTCCCTCTGCAATTACCACCACAGGCTTAATAAGCAAGTAGTGCTTAAGTCGTCGGGTTAAATAAGAATTGAAAAAATGCCTAATTTCAGCTGAATTCACTCAAGTTTGTCTTTGGAATTAAGACAGATTTTGCTAATACATTTGACATGAGAAGTACTTATGTAAATCCGGTAATGCAGGCTTGGCTATGAACCAAGTGTAGCCAGGAAACCCTTGTCATCAAAGAAGGTAGCGGGCTCCACATAGCAGGCACTTTGCTTAGTCATTCTTTGAGTAAACAATAGAAATTAAAGCGTCCTTTCACAGCTGGAGTTTCTAAAGAAAAGAGGTTTATTGGCCAATGGCAATGAGTGTAACAGTAAATTCCATGTACAGTTCCAAGTTTCTTAGAGCATTTAAGCTGCAGGGTGAATTTGCTGCTATAAGATAATTCCACTTAAAAATTGAAAAAGAAGCTTGTATAAACTTTAGCGTTACATATCAGCATGAGATTACACTGCACCTCCTTTTCTCTTAAGTTACTGTAATGTTTTATTTCATAAAGGACAATGGAGGGGTCTTTATTTCAGACCACCTCCGATATAAAACTCCACTTTGCTCTCCTTACCATCTTTGTGGAGGCGCTGTACTCATTCTGGTCGTTGAGGTGACACCGTCCATCGTGGGGCTGCACAAGGCCTCCCAGCCTGCCGTCCAGAGCAAGGTGAGGTACATCGTCCGTGGCGAACACCAGCAGGTGGTAGGCCTCCTTTCTCCAACCTATCTCCTCCTGTTTACAGAGTACAGCAGCTTAGATGTGCTTTTTTGTTTTTTCAGTCTAATCTTGCTATGATTTATTTTGGTTAGGATTATACCAAAGATTTGGAAACATTATTAGCGCCAGGTCGGGTTGTGTATGTATTGCCTGGTTCATTGGCAATAGGCTATAAGGTCAAAAAGGCATGTGCAGAAAAAAACAAATAAAACAAATAAAGTTACGGGTGGGGGGCACAGATTAAGTGTAGTGTGCAGCTGTCAGTCAGTCCTGGAAATGGCCAGTGGACAGACAGAGTAGCCAACAGTTAGATGATCCACCAGCACTGTTTTGGTCTGCTGTATGGGAGCATTACGCATAGTGTCCATCAACAAGTCCCACCACCCACACTGAATCTATGTGTTACATTACTGCACATGCATTAGATTTTATCCCATTGCAAATACCAATGTGTTCACACTGCTAACTTGAACATACCCTGGACAATATTTTGCACATTCATTTATGCTAACTTTGAACATACCCTTTTTTTTTCATTTGTTTATGTTTAACTCTTATGTACCAATTTACCAAGGCAAATTCCTTGTATGTCTACTTGGTAATTGACCCAATTCTGGTTCTGATTCTAGCTATGACGATTAGAGCTGCACAATTAATTGAATACTATCAAAATCGCAAAATGGTCAAATTCAATAACCATATCAAAGGTTAAATGTGTGACAAACAGCATTATGATGAAGTACTGTAATTCTCAAAATACAGTACTTCAGATATGCCCTGGCCTAGGTAGGTAATAGTTTTTTTCAATTAAATTAAATCTGTGATGAAAAACGATTGTTCCCACACTAATCTGTCAAAATAATTGCAATATGAAGTTTTTACCAAATTGTGCAGCCCTAATGACAATGACCGAAAAAAGTGGTGGATAAAATGGCAACTGTGTGCAACATGTGTAGCTCAAGCTAACACCAATACTTCCAATATGATGAACCATTTGCGTCGACAGTATGTCCGCGGACAGCACAAGGAGGAGAGAGTCTGGTAGGAAAGAGCAATTCCTCCCTGCAGCATTTAAACAGCCTCTCCATTTAAAATCCATAACTAAAGCATTGGGAGGGTTTACAGCCAAAGATATGGAGTCCTATGAAGTCAAGGAGGATGCAGGATTTCAGCATATGATTAGTAATGTGGGCATTGTTATAAAAGAAATAATAGGGCTGCCCAATGTTAAAAACATAAAATTGCATTACTTCTGCATCACAAATTTAGATTTGTCGGCCAGGACATCTCTGCAGCTCTACAGTACTTCATTATAATGCTGTTTGTCACACAGATTACCTTTAACCTTTATCTATAAACTGTAGCTTCTGCGTCATATTGTGATTTCAATAATATTTCAAATAATTGTGCAACAAACAGAGCATAATTTTTGTTTGTATTCAGAATTTTGTTAAGGCAACTGCTCCCCCCTAAAGAACATACCAAACTACACCCCAAATGTTGACCCCCTAAACAGGAAACCCACCTTTAATTTTGTCAACAGCTCCACCCCTAATGTCAACACCTTTAAATCCTGGTTTCTACAGGCATCGTCATTAACTAAAAACCCATAATGGATACTTCCCACAAGCCTGACAACCACTGATCCAAACACACACAAAACAGTGAGAGTGTAACAACAGCCAGAGCTTTCTGCTGCAGGCCCAGTCCTGGCCTTTATCAATAGGAAACAACAGGCGACGTCAAAGTGAGCATCTGACAGAGTGCTGACTAATGCATGCCACCACTGAGGAGAGGGATTCTGTCATTCTTTTGTTTGTTATTTGGCCTGTACTGTTTACAACAGAGCTGTGGATGCCCCATCAGAGGATGAGAAAATATGTTGTGTGACGTTGAGCTTTCTGCTGTTGTTGAAGACTTAACAGTGAAAAAAAAAAAGAGGAAACTTTACAAGTAAATAAACTGTGTATAAGTCATGTGCACTAAAAAGGGTATTTTCTTTTGGACACAACTATTTAATTCAATTTATTGATTTTCAGTCATATTCATGTGATAACATTCACATTGACTTGCTGAACTGACTTCCACTACTGAATTACATTAACAAACAAACTAGGATCAATCAGGCCTTTGGGCAGACTCGGCCCAGCCTGCAGTGAGGCACGAGTAAATTACAAGGCAGGAGCTCAATGGAGGGAGTCATTCTCTTCCTGTAGAAAACAATTAAATTGGGAGGAAAACAGGGTTATGACTGGGCCTGCCAGTGACTCGTCCTCATGTTTAACCAGCTGCACCAGACTGCACTTCCTGTCTATACCCCCCGGTGCTTTTAATTAACAAGCAAATAGATACTTGTCACGAGGGCGTCTCAGCGGTTTCACAGCAGCTTTCCCCTCCATCCAAACCAAATGTGTGCTGTCACTAAATAAGACTCCGCAATGCATGAATGTCAGGCTGTGTAAGAAAAGAGAGAAAGACACTTGTCACCTTACAAACAGCAGCCTGCAGGATGGCGTCGAATCCGCCCTCCGGTGCGTCCCGGTTGCGAGATACCATCTGCTTCTGGACCTCCTCGTTAAAGCGGTCCACTTTATCCGTCAGTGAGAGGATGTGGCGGAAACCGAAGGTGGGGACGCAGTTGGGGAACAGCTTGTATCTGTTAAGGGTGATAGATAGTTAGAGGTCCAGATATTTCCTCTGGAAGTCACATCAGGACAATATTCAAAGCGGCAAAAAGGTTCGGATGCAGGGTTGGGAGGGTTACTTTAAAAATGTAATCTGATACTAATTAACTGTTAAAACATGTAGTCAGTAACCTGATCCAGGTATCACAATATTAAAGTAATGTAACTGGATTACTTTGTTACTTTTGGATTACAAAATACGAAAATAAAGACAAAACAAAGGAAGTGTCAATAAAAAGTATTGATGTGAGTGTATTCTATAAGACAACAGAACAATGTAACCTTAGAAAAGAAAAAGGAAACAGAAAGAATGGAAAATGGAAAGCTTTTTAGAATCAAAACTCTGTCCTCTGCTCAGTGTATTTCAATTAAAAACTGATGTATTTTAAAATTGTAATCCTGCTAAATAATCCTCATTTTTCCTAAATATAACTAACTGAATTACATCTGTAACTGTAATAGATTACAGTTTTTTGCATCCTAACATGTAATCTGTTACTCCCCAAGCCTGAAAACATGATAAACTGACTAGTTTGTACAGAAATAAAACACAGAGTTTATTTCAAGAGGAGATGGGTCATTTCGCTTTGATAACGGTGGAACATAACAACATAAAATCAGACATTCCTCAAGATCCAGTTGATCTTTTTCTCGTCTTGTATATATACGGGGTGAGCAATGGCAGAAGGTTGCTTAGGGGTCAAAATGGTGACATCTATCCCTTTACTTGCCTATTGTGCCTCGCTGTGTGTGACATACACACACGCACACGGACCATAACCTAGATGGGAAGTGATGCGCGATGGCAGGCGGCGAGTTAGTGCAGTGCGGTCTCACCTCCGGGGCAAACGGCGTGTGCCACAGCTTTTTACCCCCCCCCCTCTATCTCTTCTGCTCCCTTTCAGTTTGCCCTCATCAACAACCCAGAGGAGAGGGGCCATTTTTACTCTGCTTTATCAGATATGAAAAATGTCTCATTCTTGCAACCGCAGGATATCCAACTATACATGATTTATGAATGTGTAAAGATAGAACATGTGGGTCAGAGTCAATTATTATTTCAGGGTTTCCCTTTCATCTACTGTGGTACATTTACATCACAAGAGAACAGCTCTTAAGCTCAACCACACACACAATGTACAGTTTGAACATGGCTGACATACCTATAATATTATTCTATGCATTGGAATTTGAACCCAGAAGCAATCAAAGCACCACACTGCTGCCACTACCCACCCACTGCACGGATTCTCCTGGTACTTGGGTGCTGTGTAAGAGAAAGGGGACATGTTTTTGTCCACAAAGGAACCAAAGCCCAGCCTGAAGTTGCTGGTGAGCTTGCCCATCTCCAGGGCCAGCTTGGTGCCTAAGTTCCGGATGGTGTCCAGATCGTCTTTCATGGAAAGAGAGAGGTCCATCAGGTAGTAGAGATCCACCGGGTAGTCCTCCACCTGCCGCACCTGCACCCCAAACCACGTCTGGTCTCCTGGTTGGCGAAGCAGGTAGGAAGAATCTGTCAGCAGCTTTACTCGCAAAACTTTGCTTTTTAAGTTCTTTTCTCCCTGACTCTGAATGTGTAGGACACGTACCTGGCCGCAGGCTGAGAGAGATGTTCTGAGGCGAGATCTGGATAACATCGTACTGGGTTGAACCGGACCCTTTAGAACTCAGGGGCATGTTCGTTAGGACAGAAATGCTGCTGTGGGGGTCCTCAATGAACCGTGAATCGCAGCCCCTCTTCTGCAAGTTTTGACTAAAATCGCACCGTGACGTCAGCGTCCGCCCTCTACCAAAATCCTGAAGGATGGAAAGCCACAAACCCCCAAATTAGTGATTGTTGTAACTCGTGAAAGAAATGGATGAAAAATAACGACACAAGGCCTACAATCAACTCTGTGGAGGCCGTACCTGCACAGAGTATAAATCCTGAAAATAATGCAACAGGTAAGCTTTACCTCTTGTGCGCACCAGGCGCAACTGGGGTGAATGAGGAGGCATTCTTCACACGACGTAGCGCTGCCACTCATACACATGTTGAGACCTGAGAGGGGGCGGAGAAGATCACAGACAGGGACGGTTACAGTACTGAGACTGAACTGGAAAAACACACACTTCTGTAAGGACTTAAAGGTCCAGTGTGTAACATTTAGGATGCTCTATTATCAGAAAGGGAATATAATATCCATAGGTATGTTTTCATTAGTGTATAATCAGCTGAAAACAAGAATCATTGTGTTTGTTACATTAGAATGAGCTGCTTTAATCTACAGAGTTCGACATGTTGAACCACCATGTTTCTACAGTAGCCCAGAATGGACAAACCAAACACTGGCTCTAGATAGAGCTGTTTTTCGTGTGTTTCTCTACCACCATAGTTTCTTCTTGTACTTGGAAGGAGAAGGTGAAGTGAGGGAGTTGAAGTGAGTCCATTTGCCACTAATCACTAGATGCCACTAAATCTTACACACTGGTCCTTTAAAATGAAGGGCCGGTAATGTGAGCCAATCCAACACTTCCTGTTGGCTTCTTCAGCTCTATGGTGATGCGTGAAGCTGCAGTTTGTGCTGTTGCATTGGAGTGCGTTATATTGGAGGGTGTTTCTAGCATCTCCATTGATGTGTATGTAAATGACAAAATGTGACAGACACATCTCAATCTAAATGTAACCCGCAGCCAGAACACTGAATCACCATGGATCTGACAATTACAAACTAGAATATTCACAAAGGAAGAATGCATGACATTGCAAGAGTGTTTCTGTTTTCAGGTCAGCCAGTGTGTCTGCAGTACACGATAACAGTTTAACAATTGTTGGCATTTGATCATTTCTCTCCTCTACTGACCTTGCTTTTCCAGAGGCAGATTTGAATGAGACAGAAATATAATATTTCTACTCCTCAGAGCAATCTCTCCACTGTAAGCTGTGCTGTAAACATAAACAACCAAATGCTGACTGACCCTCTCCTCCATGTGGCTCCAGTTTACAGTAGCTCTAAACTCAGTGTGTGCGTGTTGTGTACCAAACACTAGCTCACTGGATGATGTTGTTGGAAAAACAGGCTGATAGCAGATAATACAGAGTTTATTGCAAAGCAGACAAGCCTGCTTTGTCCTACCTCCAGCAGTGTGCACAACTGTGTGCAGAAGCATGCAGCACAGCGCCGCTCGCCACATCCGAGTCCCCGGGCTCCACATGGTGCCACTCAGCGTGTTTATCAACGCTCTGGGAAATATTTGTATCTCTATTCGCAGTTGACACCGATGTGTTCCTTTACCGCCAGAGCTCTCATTGGATGTAGTCCCGTCGGATCTGCGCAAACCACAGCGGTAAAGTGCGCTTAGACCATGTCGGCTCCACTGAAGCGCTCAGAGTGGGCTCATAATGAAGGATCCGTGGAAACGCAGAGACAGTTCTCCATTGTTTCACAGTCTGCACACAGCGAGCGCTCCACACAGTCCTGCTGATCCGCTTCTTCAGCTACAGTCCGCCGGGAGTCTCTCTCTCTCTCTCTCTCTCTCTCTGACGCCTCTACAGCCCTCCAGGTCTTGACCTCACCAATAGCTGACAGCAAGTCCAAAACTTCTCCATCGATCTCATGGCACTTCTGGGTCGGGTCGGGTCAGAATGTGTTCTAGTGTGAGCTGGAAGAGGGAACAGAAAGGCCCAGCAGATGAACACATACACAACTCCAGCAGTGATTTTCTCTCGCACATTCGTGTTGCTTACTAGGTTTGGCCCGGTTGGCGTTCCAGCTGGAATCTCCGCCCACTCCCAACTAGGGATTACATTAACCCGTTCGGTGCTTTCAGTTGGCTCCATTTCTCGGTTGAGCCCTGCTGCTGGTGCGGACACCTAGTGGAGGTTCCCAAGGGCTGGAGCTGTCGGGGTGCGGGGTGGGGGGCACGACTTTAAGTTAATTTCCCTCCACTGTTGTTACACTGATGATCAGCTGGATGGTGACACGGTGCTCATGTTCACTAACACCTGAGGAGTCAGTTTACTGCATGCAACCTGCCTATCTGACTGCGGTCAAGCCAGCCGACCCAGTTTTTTTTGCTGTACGTGATTATAGTAGCTTTACGGTAATAGCGTCTCAGAAGTGGTTTCAAAATAAAAGCCTGTCAAAGTGTCAAATATGAGACTAATTACATATGATTTGGGATTCAGTTTAAAAGGAAACGCCCTGTTATCAAAGAATAATTCCACTTCAGGGTTATAGTATACGACCCCATAGTGTGACCCAGTAAGTATCAAGACATTCTGATGTATAGTTTCAAATTAAAAGCCTGTCAAAGTGATAGAATTTTAAAATTGCTTTTAAAGGCATGCAAAAGATAAGTATTTATAATTTGATGTCACAACTGGAACTCTTAATATTACATAGAACATGTTGTACATCAGAAATCTTTACATGGATAGGGTTTTAAAAATATACATCTTTCAGAATGTCTCGATACTTACTGGGTCACACTATGGGGTCCTATACTTTAACCCTGGGTGGAATTAGTCTGTGATAACAGGGCGTTTCCTTTTAAATTGAATCCCAAATCATATGTAATTAGTCTCATATTTGTCACTTTGACGGGCTTTTATTTTGAAACCAGTTCTGAGACGCTAAAGCTACTATAATTAGCAAACAAAGGGTCTATACTGGGGGCACGCTAAAACCAAAACCGGGAGTGTAAACAGCACACTAGCGCTAATCATTTATTTCCTTTACATTAACTATTATTTAAAAAATTATAATATAGTGATTTAAAGTTCCATTAGGTGTTTTTTATAAAGAGAGCCCTTTCTCATATTTGCTTTCCCTATATGCTGACAGTAGAACATGAGACAGATCATCTGTGAGACAGTCCGCTTCCTCTGGCTCCTCTTAGTGCTCCTAATGGCATCTGCAGGAATCCACCGGGCCTGAACAAAAACACCCAATCAGAGCTGAGAAAGATGGAAAGACACTTCGGAGTTCCCTTTGCTATGGCAACACAGAGGGGTCAATCCACTTAGGACATTAGTCAAAGAAAGCCCTGAGGGGCTCATGTTGAGCACAGCAAAGCTGAGGGTGGGAAAATATTTCAATGATTTATTTTTATTGACAGAGAAAATATAGTACAAACAAAGCTTCTGCATATACAACCACATGCAACCTTTAACTACATTTTAGAAATCTTTCTAAAAAAAATGTAACTGACAGAGGCGGCACTGTATGAAGCCCTCAATCCTTCAATGTACCCACTTTTGGAAAGAACACACACTATTGTGAACTGTAACAAAGTTTAAGAGCAACTTCAAATTTGAGTCACAAAGAAAAACTTGAGGGGTTGGGATACTATTCTAACAAAGAACTTCCAAAAATCAAAAACGTTTAAAGTGCTGAGCATTTCTTATAACTGTGTGGCACTCGCTGGCCTGGTCAGAAGCTCGGAAGTCATGTCCCTGATGGTCCTGAGGGGCAGGCCGCTGAGGACGCCCTGGTGCTTGGCCTTCAGCTCCATCAGAGCGTCCACAATCCTCTGCCTTTCAGCGTCCGGGTGGCGCTGGATCAGCTCTGCCATCAAGGTGTCAAAGCTGCCCATGGTGCCGTAGTGCTGGGGCACGCAGGTTCCCTTTGCTGTGGGGGAGATGCAGACCACCTTCCTGTTCTTGATGCTGGAGCTAAGTGGTGGCTGAGTTACCAGCTAGAGGAGGACAGAGAACACCTTTTTCTTGTCAAAAGAAAAGCAGGAAATTCAATTGCAAAGCATTCATTCCAAACAGCATGCCAACTATTCCTGGACTGCTATAATAGTGTCTACACTACGAGAAACTGACAACACAACACTGTAGCCCCCCACCACACCACAATATTATTAACAGTATTAAAACATTACCAATGATAGGGGAGGCAAGTTGAATTCTAGTGAAATAAAGGTCAGCACAATAGCATCAGCAAACTGTTGTATGTTTATTTTCCCTAAATAGAATCATATACAACTCCATCATTTTTCCCTGGTCTGGGTTCAGTAAATACATTTTGTCAGTACTGTCCTGATAATCAGGGCAGATTTAATTAATAACATTTATACTGACACTCTCAGTGCTGATGGAGTCAGCCGTGGAGGTTTGTGGTTTGGTGGCGTCCTCTGAAGACTCAGGCCCACTGACGGAGGCTGAGGCCTGACTGTGGCTGCCACCAATGCCTCTGTTGATGTGCTCCACATGTAAAATATGGCCTTGCATGCTGCAGCCATTCAGCTCTCTCACTGTAGCCTCTGCAGATTGGGGTCCACTTGTCATCACTATGGCAACTCTAGGGAATACAGCCAGCGAGGCAATGACGTTAATGTGTCCGTTTGGGAAGCAAACAGCAGTTTTGACATTAAAACTGGCAGCTTCAACAGCTGCATGAGCAGTCTGATGTGCATGAAAAAGGACTTCAGACAAATAAGGTAACAAAACCTTACATGATGGAAAAGCTGACTGCAACAACACATGAATCTAACGCATGGATGAGTGAAAGTGATGTCAGATAGAGCAGCAGCTCACCTCAAATCATTCTTTAAAGTAGAGATGCTGACATCAGAGGCATGGTATTTCTCCAACCACAGCATCACGTCACTCTGGCAAACACAAAGCTTCAGTTTAAGTCTGTACTGCCGTCTGCTGGCTATAATGGTACTACAATATCACAGTATAGCACTTTGAGATTCTTTTATGAAAAGTGCTTTACAAATAAAATGTATTACAGTTTCTAACGTATTAATATTGAATTCCATGTGATGACCATAACAACACTTATTCTCATGAGTATTACGTTTAGATGGTAATATTTGAACAGTCAGCAGCAGAAAGTGTACAAACTCACCTCTGTCACATTACTGGGCAGGTTGGAAACACAGAGGACTGAGCTCTTGGCCTCCTCACTGGCTGATTCTGTAGTTAAACAAATTCACCACTAAGGATTTGATCAAAAAAAGATACATTGAGTGACCACTCAGCAAGGTCACCAGGTGAAGTTTGGGAGTTCCATATGACTGTTTAAGACAAAGTCATTCTGATGACGCTGCCATGTGCTGTACACCGGATTATCACAACAGCTCAAAAACAAACTACAAAAAGGCTCAAAATAAATTCATATGGGTTATATTAAAAGTTCAGTTCTTGGTCCAACACATTATTAAAAGCTTAACTGGTTAATGGTTTGTATTAAGATGCTGCTCACTTACAAAATACTAAAGTAATTGATTCATTATTTCTCACCAATGAGAGACAATCATAGCTAATTTACATGAGGTAGCCTGACTGACAGCGCATAGCGTTTGGTTCAAAAGCCCAATAGGTAATATATATATATATATATATATATATATATATATATATATATATATATAAATGATAGTATTTCTCTACAGTGCAGCAGTTCAGAATAATCTGCCCACAAATCTAATCAAGTATTTCTCAGAGCATGTTTAAAATGGCCTCAAAGAAGTGGCATGTAGCATTAGCAACTTTTATGACCAGAAGAATATGAGCATGCTCACATAGCTACCACACCGCCTGCAAATTTATATGATGGTTCTATTGTCTTTGCTTGCTGTCCTGTTGTTATTTTGGTCTATCTTGTGGGTGTGTTAAACGTTAAAGGACCACAATGGAAGTAGGGCTAATGGCTTCATTGTGTTTTTTATTAGGGACCGAGCCAGCAACCGCCGGAGGTCCCTACTGTATTTGCTGTTTCTTATTCTTACCTATCATTTTCACTTTCGGTGAACTTTTTGCGTTGTATTTGAACAAACTCCTCCTAGGGAATTTATCGTATCTACTTCAAAATTTGTGAGTACACTCAAAAAATGGTGCTGATTAAAAGTTGTGCTATTTGTGCATGTAAGTTGAAGGGCGTGTCCGTGGCGTGCCCTCAAAGTCAGCCATTTTGAATTCCGTGCTCGTTTTCTGTGATTTTTCGCCTTGTATTTGAACGAACTCCTCCTAGGGGATTTATCGGATCTACTTCAAATTTCATCAGCGCAATCTAAAGATATTCATGATTAAAAGTTGTGCTATTTACGACATTCCGTCAAACGGCGTGTCCGGGGCGTGGCATCAAAGTCAGCCATTTTAAAGTCCGTGCTCATTTTCTGTGATTTTTCACCTTGTATTTGAACGAACTCCTCCTAGGTAATTCATCTGATCTGCTTCCAAATTGGTCATTACAGTCAAAGTATGTTGCTGATTAAAAGTTGTGCTATTTGTGCACGTACATTAAAGGGCATGTCTGTGGCGTGCCGTCAAAGTTGGCCATTTTTGAATTCAAACATTCATACATACAAACTAGATAAAATGTTGAGCTATTTGTGACTGTAAGTCAAACTGCGTGCCAGTGACAACTTGTCGAATTCAGCCGATTCGCCATAAAACAGCACCCATAACTTCAGTGTGCAATGTCCAATCTCCAATAAACTTCATATATTCTGTAACAGTCTCACCCTGAACACGTCCTCATTACCTCAGCGTACGTGGTCCAATCTCAATGAAACTTCACGTGTTTGATAAGAGTCCCGACCTGAACACGTCTACATGACAACATTCAGACATAGTGATAGCGCCACCTACTGGCAACAGGAAGTAAGCGGTGCGTGGCGATTATCAGCTGATTTACATTAAATTTTCATGTTGTGGTCCACACGTGTTACGACGGCACGCGACGCGGCCGCAGCACGCCCCGAGTTGCGTGGAGTGCGAGGTCCCGCCCACTGCTGCTTGCAGCTTTAATTCTCAATGATTTTTATCAACGTGTGTAATCTGCAGTGCAGTGTTATTTGTTGTTTTTAAATCATCAAATAAATTCAATTAAATTCCATACCATTGGTGTTGCCTTTCGTGATCACTGCTGGGTCCTGTCCCGTCTCAGCAGCTACTGCAGGTCCTGCAGGGTCCAGGTCCTCTTCAGCGTCGTACCACGCCTCGCTTGTGTTGAGCTCTTTGCCTGCAGCTGCTGTCCACACAGAGGCGCACATCTTTGATTCAATCAACTACTGCCCAGGTCAATTAATTAAAAACTTGAGGAGGATTCTTTTGCTTACTTTTGCTCACTTGCTTTTCTTCTTGTTTGTTTGCATTATGGTTAGTATCTCTATCCTGGGGGACAAAAGTGACAGCTCTCCTTGCTTTGCTATTCTTCTTCATCTGTTCCATTCTCTGACTTTGCTGGTGAAGAAATGAGCCAAACACTAAAGCTGATTAAACTGATGAGAACAACTTGGGTTCAATTACAAACAATAAAACACAGAGCTGTCCACGGATTTGGTTTTAGTAGTGTTCTTGTTTCACATCTCAGTCTTTAAGCATACCTGGCAGCCATTTCTGCTTTGATTATGGAGACTTCCATTTTCTTTGCCTGATGTGTTATGTTTCTGAGGTTCCTGGGAGAGCCTTGGGATTAGAAAAGACAATATTACAGTGTCTAAAAAGTCAAATGCCTAGTCTCCAAAACCATTGTAATTGAATGACATCAGACAAGCATGCATTTATGTGTTAACATACCAAGATGGAACAATTCCCAGCACATCACCAACAATCTAAACAGGGACAACAAAGAGACCATTACTATTACAGCTGTGGTTACAATATATGAAGTCACTAACAATAAGGATTGCTACTCTTTTGTAATGATATATTTCAAGCACTTTTCAAGGACAAAGGTTCACATATACTGTCTAACCCCACACAGTATTATATTGGATTGGTTTACATTAATGAGATGGCAATATATTTTATCCCATTAGGATGAAACTTTTCCAGATTAATGTTGACCTACATACAAGACTTTTATGTATTATGACTTTAATGAACTTAATTAAATATGTGCTGATATACATATCAGTAGGACCCATTTTTTAAGCCCCCAAAACCTCTGACCATTATCAGGTATGTGTTCAAGGAACAGGTATGTAAAATTCTGTAGCTGTACCCATTTAGATTCTTGATATTTTTGGTTATGAGTGTCAGCGAAATCTCATTTTGAAAAAAATGGCCACAGAATGTGGAAAGGAGACCGGCTGCATATTTTAGCTAGGAACATCTTTGAGAAATATAGCGACCCTTTAAGTGTTTAGAGACCAGTGGGTTAGTAGGCTGAGTCTTACCTGTGCAGGGATGTAACTTGCTCCTGTGGCGATCTTCTCAGAGTCAACAGAGAGAGGCTTAAGTTGCTCCAGAGGAACCCCTGCTAGGATCTTATCCCTCATATGATTATAGTCAGATTCCAGTTTTTGCAGAACACTTGCAATGTTTGCAGGTGGGTTGTTTGGCCTTCAGAGAGGGGGAAATAATAAAAGTAAATACTAGTCGGCCTTAACATTACAAAAATCCATCTGGATAAATATATCAGCTGCCTCAGTAGAAGGCTAGAGGTAAACGCAGGTAAAATCTGATCAATATTGATTGATGTCTCCTTACATTGGGATGAGCTGGCCTCCCTCAGCAGAGATACAGTAGAGTCTCCAGCAGTGCTGTCTGCACATGCTGTATTGCAGGGCCAGGAGGCACAGCTCTGCTTGCTGAGCACGCTGGGTACAGCCACATTCCTCTCTCAATTTACAACCCAGACTGGGGAAAAAAATATTATATAGTTAAAAGATATTAGTCCTGCTGCAGAAAACAATTCTTTAATGACAAGTCAAATGTAGGACTGTGTGTATGTGAAACATTACCTTTTCATTTTCTCTTTTGTCAGTTGCTCTTTAGCCATCTTGAGTTTGATAAATTCCTGAAATGTAAAAAAAAAAAAATGTTTTTAATAAAAAAGTTTTGTTTTGCCGGAGCTTCTACAATGATTGCTCTCTGGTCTCAACCTTACCTCAGTGAGATAGTCCAGGTCTGCCATGTGGACTTCAGTAATGACATGCTTGTCAGATGTTGCTGGATCCTCAGTTTGGGTGGAGGCAGACATGCACAGTGCCAGCTCAGTGCCAACCAAAATGTCACAGGTAGTAATGCCGGCCGTGGGGGATGTGTACTTTTCTGCAGTGTCCATCCTGATGGCGGACTGATCAGACTTCAAGGTTTCACTGCTGGCTGCCACTGCTTCACTATTAGTGGTGACTGGACCTGACAGAATCCCATTGTTTTGCGCTTTTACATCTTCACTGGCCAGACAGATAAGTATGCTCTTATCGTCCTCCATGATGCTATGGAAGTTGTCACTCCGATCTTCAAAGCTTAAGCTACCCTCATCATCATCATCATCTTCATCATCATCTTCTTCAGCTACAGTGTGTACAGGAGGAGACTCTGTCTCAACTGTTGGCCATTCTGACCTGTAACATGAAACAATATTGCTCATATCAATACAAACTCAGCATGCACACTGAGATAAAACACAAAGGAGTAGACTTGAAATAGTTTCATAGCAAACAAGGTTTCAGCAGGTTTCAACAGATTCAATTTAAACCCCTTTTAATACCATTGTCCCTACTGGCAAAAAAAAAAGTATGAAGGATCTGAAGGAATATCAGTATTGGTTTCATTTTGTTACAGCATGCAAAAATACATTTAAAAAGAGGCTGAATGCAATGTTATACAAAGAACGTTTACTTCATCAATCCAATCGCTTTTTAAAAGACTTTTCAAAACTCATATTTCATTTTTATGTATTTGTTAATTTTTTCTAATTCTGATTATTGGATTTTAGACTTTTTAAGACCCCACTGACACCCTGAAAAGAATTTCAGTTGAATGAGAAGATTACTTTACAGACATCTAATAACTGACATCCAATTTTATTTAACTGAAAGCCATTTAAGTTGAGTTAAGTGAGGGACAGAGTGAAGTGAAATATGTTTTGTAGTTTTAATTTGGTTGATCTAGGTATGACCTTTAAGACTAGCTCTTAAACTGATGAATTACAGTGACAATTAAGAATTTCCACATCTGTATATGTATAATGCAAACACAAGAGAGCTTCGGCTGGTATGGTTTAGCTGCAAGAAATAAACAAATGTCATGTTATGTTATGTGGTAAGATGGATACTCACTGTAATGGACTGACTTCAGTGTATGTGAAGTTAGGACTCTGGCCTTGTGTAATTGCAGTCTGGCTCATGAGTTCAGGCTGTCCCCGCTGTCTGTGTCTTTCCAGCTCCATGTCCACAGAGAAGCTCGCCAGGGCTGCTCCATCCTTACACACAGCTGCACTGCTGTCCATCTGCCAGGATGGCCTTTCTTCATTCAGCTGGGTCGCAGGTGAATCCTTAAAAAAAACAAAATCCTGTATTATTCATCTGAACTTTCCAACTACCGTTAAGGACTATTCCAGTGTTATAACTTTAGCTGATTCATATACATACAGAAAACATCTGGTAGTTTGGTTCCTGTGTGGTTGGGCTGTTCGAGGCTGATTGGAAGCTGTCGATTTCTTCATGTGGATGTTTCTGGGATCCATCCCTGCTGTTGCTACAGCCGAGCAGGGTTAAAGTCTCCCTCAAATGATTGGGAAGCCCTTCCCATTCTAGATGTGTATGAGCCATTCCTTGCAAGAGGAGCAAACAAACTGAATAGGTTGAAGCTTTACTAGTAATGTAACAACAAGTGTCTACTAAAAATCGTGGCTCATTATTAGGGACAAAGATTAAGCCTGGTCCAAGGCAAAAATGTTTTTGATGATTTCTAAGTAGGTTATTCGTTCAGGTAGTGCACTATCAAGACCAGGGTTTACATCCAGCCAGCATATGTCCAGCTGTGGCAAGGGATTGGATGGCCTCAACTTTAAACAAAAAGCAGAGCACTTTTATCTAATGAAGATGCACCACAAATAAACACACCTCTAACTATACTTGATTAAGTCTATTTAAACCTTACATTTGGTAGTTCTATATGGCTGCAATTCTGTAACTAATTAACTAACAGAATTGATTCCAATTTTCCAAAGCCTTTGTGTTGTAATTTAAAGGGGGTTTGTGAAGTAGCCCCATTTTCTAATTGACAGATTGATGACGTTTTATATAAAAATAAAAGTAAAGCCCATGTGTATGAGACTGGCATATTACCACACTTCTTTGCCCCGGACATTGTAGATCTGAGAACCAAACAGAGTTTCCACAGTGAATCTCTGTAGAACCATAAAGCCTTAACTCAGTGCAATGTACTGCAGTCAGTGAGACATACGTATGCTTGGTGGATGTCATGGATGGCCGGACACGACACGTACTTCCAATGTTATCTGCTGTTTGTAGATAAAAAAAAAAAAAAAACTGTCACAGTTTAATTTGAACACAGCCATTAGATTGTTATAGCAACTTAACAGACTCACACTTCACATAGACATGATGCCTGGACAGTTCTAGGGCAGGGTGTCTCTGCAGGAACTGGTGAAACCCTCCTTCATCTAGGAGAAAGGAAAACAATTCAGTTTGACTGATTAATGGCACGTTTTGAACACATGATAAAGGACTGCCAGCTAGACCCAAATCTTCTTTCGACTATATTACACAATGGTGGCTATTGGCAGAAGATGAAGAAAATGGAAAAAAAAGAAAGGAAACAGGGTCTTAGGATACTAGGTGTCAAAGATTATTTTACAATTTCCTCAGCAGATCACAGGTCACAAAATGCCACTAACATCTTTGCAAAGTTCAAAGTGACATCTTCAAAAAAGGTCTTGTTTTGTCTGACCAACAGTTCAAATCCCAAAGACAGCTGATTTCCAATTATATGAAGGACAGCAAATCCTCACATAGCGCTGGGTGATTTTTGCCCCCAAGAGCTACGGTCAGGGGAAGCTGTGTAGTTTGTATTGAGAGGGGAGCCATATTAACTGCGTACCCTTCTTAGTAACAGTTAGAACTTTATAACACAGCCTCTAATAACCCACAACTAACTCTCTTAAAACACTTTAAGTATTTTATGTTAGTTAATAGTGTTTATACAACTATTTAAAAATATTTATACTTTATATTATATATACTGAAGTTGCTGAAGTCGTAACTCTTATTTTAAGTTCTGTTTTACGCTGCAGGAATATAAAAAGTGTTCACAATCTGAGTTGTTCATATATTGTATCATTCTGCTGAGCCAAGAAAACGAAACAGTTATCAAGCCTTCAGTATATACATGACAAGATTAAAGCTATAATATGTAAAATTTCCACATAGAAATGTCTATGAACAGTAGAGCTATGTTCTATATACAGTTGACGTTGTGTATTTTCATTATCCCAAATGTTTCCAACAATTTTCAGATGACTTTTTATCCAATTTGAAACCATATTTTTACCATCCACTAGATTTCATTTAGATCTTGGTGCTTTTTAACTCTAGATTTGAACCGAATGAAGGATTTTAGTCATCGGACGTCTGGATCTTAAGTTATCAGAAAACAAACTGAGCTAACGTTAGCAGCAGCTCGGCTCGCAGGAGCTGACTGCGATAACAGCAATGGCGGTGAAGACAACAACAAAATTAAAGTGAAACCATAAGAACCTAAAAAGAATAGTGTGATGGAAATATTTGGGTTTGAGAAACTGGATCGAGAGAATGATTTGACCATGTCGAGCAACTAATCATGTCACCTATATATTTTACAGATTAGAGCTAACCTAGAGCCTGGATAGGTTCACTGTCATGTAAATTATGTGGTCGTGCTCTTTTACCTGCCAAAATAAGCAGATGTTTGTGAACACACTGTATGTTTCAATTGATCTGACCACTGAACTAGTAACCGCAATATCCCCAGAAAAAAAAAAAAGTTTAAGTTACTGAGTGTGGAGAAACTTCGTTATAAGTCAGTTATAAAATCGTCTGTCCTGCAGGGCTGCTGAACTGAAAAAAGGGCAGTAATAATGGACACCGACAGACAAAATGCTGAGCAGGGTACAGCCCTATCTAAGTGTTGATTTGCATATAGAGCAGGGAAGTGACAGCCGGCCACTGGAGACGCATTCTGATGCCAGGTGTAAACAGACATACTTAAAGCTGTCCGCTTGTGATCGGATCACACAAGAAACATGTTAATACCAAGTGTAAACAGGCTCATAGAGCAGTGAGTGAGATTGGATGGCTGTGACACCTTGTATAATCTTTCGGTCCTCTGGAGACAAACGTAGGTACCAACCCAGTAGCCTGGGGTCAGTTAAGGCAAGGTATGGATGAGCATCCACCAAATCAAATACAGACCTGTAAAATAAAGAATAATAGCTGCTGGTGTTATGGTATTAATGATAATTTCAAGGGGAGAGAGAGAGAGAGAGAGGATATGGTGCATACCTGTCCAGAAAGAATGTCCTGCTTTCTTCTGTTGATGAAGAAATCACAGTATTGATAACAAAGTATTATTGCTTAAGATACAGATTACATAATGAAAGCTGCAGCTCACCAAGACAATAATTCATTCAAAGCCCCCTGCAGTTAGCAAAAAGGGTGTGATAAGTTTAAAACCTCATAGGTATATCTCTGACTTAGCTAACGTTACGTGAAGATTTCATTTACTGCTGAAATGACTTTGAGCAGACATCTTGTTGTAACAGTTATATCTCCGGGGACTTACTTGGACTGGGCTTTTCAATCAGCGGACTATAAAAACAATGAGGGATCACCCGCGACGGCACCGCCACGCCTGCATAGTCACTGGTAGCCACCAATGACGGCCAAGAAACATTCAACTCGTAGGGCAACGTGAGGGGAAAGTGTGGCCACACTGTCTGAAACACAGTCATTGGTTCAGTGTCCGAGGTGGCCGTCCAGAAATGATAATGAGGATTGGTTGGGGCCGGCATTGTGTTAGCAGCAGAGTGTGACTCCATTGCAAGCGCTGCTGGAAAATAACGCTAACGGCTAACGTTAGCTAACGTTAGCTAGCAAAGTACACATAACATTACATATGCATAATGACTGCGTCACTATAAATTAGCCTTAACCAAAGGGTTTAACGCTTCTTACCCGCCGTGTTGTCATTTTCGTCGTGTTACAAAAATAATTAATGAAATAAAAATAGTACCGGGCTTCGGTTGCAAATAACGTAAAAGTTAACCGTCGAAGGAAACGTTGGGGCCCGGCTATCATTAACGTTAGCTAAGTTACTTTATAATTGAGCTAGCATTAGGTTACTTGATAACAGGTGTGTTAAATCTCTTAAAGGCGGTTAAAGGGTCTGTCCACCCAAATTACGAGCAAAAGCATTTTCTCACTTCTGTCTTTTGGTGTCCAGCCACGAAGCTTAATTAGTCCAAGTAAAAGAACTAACGTTATCCCTCCATTTAACTGGCTTTACTGTTACACCATTGGAAAAATCAGCACTAACAATTCTTCTCTTCTCTGATAACGACAATCTGGATAATCTTCAGACCTTGCTGTGAACAGTTTTCACAGGGACTATTTCTTCAGTTAAAGTACTTCCAAAGCAAATTGTTCCATTTAACGTTAGTTAAAAAAAAATGTCAGTGCCAGGTGCTACAGAGACAACACTTCATTCATTTCTCTTCTTTTACTGTAGTGGAAGCAGAAATCTCAAATCAAACCACTGTCTCCATGGTTAAGATAAGCTAAGAGAGAAAATATGTGTTGTAATCTGGGTGAAAACACATTTAATAGTAACCAAAGTCACATTACCTGCCAGGCGGTGGCGCTACAGGTGTCCTTCTTAACGTTACTTTTAATGGCAGCCACAACATTCTGAGGCTGATCGCTTCACAGTTTAAAGCTGCAGTAGCTAATTTCTATAAAACTAACTTTTTGTCATATTTACTGAAACGTTCACCATATCCTGACAGTAGAACATGATACAGATAATCTGTAAAAACATCAGCTTCCTCGGGCTCCTCGTAGTGCTCTGATTGGCAATGCATTGGTTTAAATACAGAACATTGAGCCTCAGTACTGTTTTATCCATAGCACTCGACATCTAATGATGTACGGTACCAAACGCTGGCTTTAGAAAAGTGGTCAGATTCGACATCTTGTTCATTTATTTGATCAAAAGGTTTTAAATTTAAGTCAAACTTTATCAAATTTTAAACAGTTTTATTGAGGCAGATTTATTTTATGACTTCTTGTGTTTAAGCAACATTTCTGTGGTACATCTACTAAAAGTGTTGTATTTCACAGCCCTGCAGAAGCAGAATAACAATTTCATCCACTCTTCAGTGGCACACACATAGAGCCACATGTAGCCTACATAACTGAAGAGGAAGTTCACCAAATATAGCATTATTTGATATGTTAAGCTCCCTCAAAGCCAACGTCATATTTGAAATGAAGTTAGCTGTACAGTCTGAGTCTCCATTCCCTAATTGTTAGTGGTCAACGCCCCTGCACACCATTCAGGGATCCTGCTGTTGTGGTTCTCTCCCAGCAGCCACAGGAAGATAATTATATAATGTGTGACGTCAGCATGTCTGAAATCCTGAGGGTTCGGTACAATGAATGATATTCATGTCCCAGTGTTAGTTTTATTTTATTATTTTCTGTAGTTCAGTTCACTTCAGCACCTTTATTGTCGTGCATGGTTTTGAAATTCAGTGTGCAGCCAGGAGTGAAAAACACATTACAACAGCCTCAAATCTCAACCCCCGCACTCCACCCACGACTTACAGAAAAAAGAGCGAAAGCTGCAGCCTGTGAAGAATTCAGCTGCAATAGGGAACAGTTTGTCCCTCCTTGTAACGTGTGGTTGTGAAAGTCTAACAAGCAGTAGACATGTGACTCTGGACTCATGGTTTTTTGTTGTTAAAGCTGCAATAGGTAACTTTTATAAAAAATAACTTTTTGTCATATCTGCTGAAAGTTATTACAACTCATCTCCAATATAATATTCATAGGAAACAATCTACTCAAAATTTGTCCAAATTGCTTAGTTATTGTGTTTACTTTTTGGTTCATTGTACTGTTATTGTTGATATAATATTAATAATTAATATCTATAAAATAGGTCAGTTAGTCAGGGGTCCTCAGTTTACTGAAATGGCCAGTAGTTTGAGATCCCTGATCTTAGTACTATGACTGTATGCGGACAATCCAAATAAATTGTTAGTGTTAATGGTAAATGGTAATGGTAAATAATCTGAGGTATGATATACATCCACTTCCATAACCCAGATTCTGGTTCTATTAACTACACTGAAACACTTAACAGTGTGTCCACTACTATCAAAACAGTCTCACCGCAAGGTCCATGTAGCTGCCCCGAGGTAGAGGAATTTGCCCAAGAGTGAAATGAACTTTCGACACACTTTCATGGATGGGAAGTCCTTAAAGTGCTCAGAAAAATGGTATTTGAACTTCTACAATTCCATTACAACTCAATCTGCTGAGGAAGATTGGGACTGTAAGCAACTGAAAGCTCCAGAAAGGCAGCTTGTCAAGATACAACTTTAATTCTCAGCATTAACATCCCTATAACAATGTATTTTCCTTCACAAGCTGCTATTATATGTCTGTTGTTATCAGCATGGTATGCACAAAGACCTCGCTGGCATTGGTATCACCATTCACTGAAATCAGATATGTAACACTAAATGCAAAGCAGATCATTAGCAAATGGTTTCTATGAGTAACGCTCAGCAGTGCTAATGAAATATTTTGGCATAGCTGTCAACTCTGTCACATTAAATGTAAATGAGCTCGGAAGCCCGTTGGGTGAGAACAAGAGAGCGGTAATACTTCCAGCACATTACATTCATTGGCAGACACTCCAGAGCGACTTACATTTTTTGTCTTAAACAGGACACACTGGGAACTGTGTTGGGTTCACTGTCTTGCTCAATTAAGGACACTTTGACAGGAGGAGCCAGGGACTGTCCAACCAACCCTGCGATTAAAGGCCTATCCATTCAACCTATTTAGTAGTGAACAAATAGACACTAATTACAAGGACGATTTATTTTTCATTTTACAACACAAAGTTGTATAATGAGATTAATCTGTATTTTAATTGTACTGATTCATTTGTGTAATTTGCTCACAAAAACAAACTATGTACTAAAATGATAAACAGATGGGTGAATAAATAATGAGTCATACTCAAACTACAACATGCATGGCACAAGATGACATTGTTTCTTCTGACAGGAGCACAATATACAGTACAGACTTATGCAAAGGTTAGAGTTAACAGTGAACAGGGCTCAACTATAAGCACTTTACCATCGATATGTAAGAATGTTTCTTTCTTTGCAGTCTTTTATTTATTCCAGCACACTGTTTAATTTCCATCATTTCTGATCTATTTTATTGTTATTATTACCTTTATCCCACGTTAGTGTTGGGTATTTTATTCCTCTAATTGTATAGCATTTTAATTGTTTGCATTTATTTGCCTCAGGGCAGTTCATTTACAATAGGTTTTATCAGTTTTAGGGATGCACCAATGCGGATACCAGTATCAGGTATCGGGTTCGATACTGTGCACATGTACTTGTAATAATAAAACCACTCCGATACCACTTTATGGCAGCGGGTTGTTACTTAACCTCTCGTTAGTTGAGCAGGTAGGTGGAGGAGAAGCAATGTGAGTAGTTTGAAGATATGTTAATCAACTTTTACAACATTAGAAACATTTAATTAGTCAGAAATGAGTTTTCAAAGTCATTATTAGAACTGTAATGGTATTATTAAGTACTCATATCGGCAAATACCCAAATGTAAGTACTTGTGTTTCTATGTGGTACATCCCTAATTTGTTTTATTATTAGTATTTATCTTTACTATTTACCGCTATTTTATTCCACCATGTCTTTGTATCATTATATTTGCCTCATTGCCTCCTGAAATGTTATAAATTCTGGTTTTAACCATTGTAAAGTATAACTTTTTTTTTTTTTTTTAAGTTTCCATCTTTCCAGGCTCTGATTGGTTGTTTTTGAAAAAGGGGGGGTGGGGGAGCACCATGTACAGAAACTCCATAAGCTCACAGCACTGACTGCACTTCAACTAAGATCTCTGGGAAGTGCGGTGCAAAAACCCCCCAATGCAATAGCACTCATGTCTAAAAATATGTTACAAAGGTGAGCAATATGTAATGATGGAACTGATGGAAGGTTGGAAGTTTATTTTTGACCTAGGAATCAACAAAGCAATCTCACTAGATCTATTTAGTTGCTGTTGTGGAGCCTTCTATGGTGTCTCACAATATTCCTCAGCAGATGCCTCACCTCACCTCATGGCCACAGCTTCCTCTTAACAATAACAAAATATTTAGTGCTTCTTAAACATGCATTTTTTAGTGGCAGAAAAGTATTTTATTTTGGACATTTTGTACGCTACATTGTGCTGTGAGTCTGTGCAGGACCTTATTACTCATGTTCTGGTAGTACAGGTACCCATCCACTAGAGGGCAGCCATGGTTAATGTAAAATAAACAAGAGCTCTCATAAAAATCTGAAATTTTCGTGAGAGAGAGAGAGAGAGAGAGAGAGAGAAAGAGAGAGAGAGAAATCAGTTATGTAACAGAGTTTTAGGAGCAAGGTCTCACCATGGTAATTAGCATTGTGCACACACAGCGTGTTGCCCAAATAATGTGAAAGATTTGTGCTGTTCCCTTCCCGGCAGCCTGACCCATATTTCTCAGTAGTCATAGCCAGAACAGAGTGATTCGCTCTCTCAAACTACAGTAGATGGAGGCTTTGTGTGTGTGTGTGTGTGTGTGTGTGTGTGTGTGTGTGTGTGTGTGTGTGTGTGTGTGTGTATTGACACACTGAGTGCCTGCCATGGTCTGAAGATTCAGAGCTGAAACCACATTATGCCTGAGCTGCCTGGTGTTGTATCTGGATCAATAATTTACTTGGAAGCAGCCAGTGGTCATGTGGTATAATGTATGTTGAAGGAGCCATTTGGTATGTCCACTTTTCTCCCCGCTGAAACCCGGGGCCATGTCTCAAGCACTCTGTAATAGTGTATGTATAGATTTAATGTGACGTTTATGATGCCTGACACAGCCTTGTTCGTTTCATGAAGTGGAGCCCTAAATCATTCCTTCAGCAGGTATACATTCTGTCCATACCTTACTGTTAACCACCGGCAGTCCTAGAAGTGGTAGGAGGAGCGTTTCCAAGGTGATGGGACATTTCCAAAGCCTCAATAGCTCCTGTTAAATGGATCGGGGCCATTATATTTGGCTCATGGCTTAATCTTGACTGTGGATAGCAGGTTTCTGGTGGGGTGGGGGGGCTAGGACATTTC